AAAAAGGGGGGGAGCAATCTTGTATTTTCTTTTGAACAATTTAGCATTTGCATGTGCCTCAGAAGTTGCCCAAGATACCCGAGCATGTGGCCCAGAGGTTCAGAGTACTAGGAAGCAATAATGTGACGCCTCAAACAAGCTTGAGCATTGGTGCTTTTGTTCGAATCTTTGTTGCAACTTGCACACCCAAAATGATGATACCAGGCTGAAAATAAAGTTGTCGGCACTAGATTTCGGCGTGCACCATAGGCTGCAGCACCGACCTAGAAGTACTCCAAAGTGCGCACTGCATCTTGTTCAGGACACTGGACACATGGTAGGGAAGGCAATGATTTTTAATCATACTAGTATAATGCCCGTGCTAACGCTACGGCAACATTTGAATATATACAAATAACATTCCGATGTTTTTCTTTTTGAACAATTACATTACAACTCCACTAATTACTATACAACGAACGATTTACGTGTCTATGCAAACAAAAAAAATCATAAGCATTAGAAGCCGACTGCTTGACAATGCCAATGCCATCTGGTACTCTGGTAGTCTTCTTTAATTTTTTTTATGCACAAAGAAGTCGATGGCTATGTAAGTTCGTGGTTTGCTAGACGAAAATGACTGATGTTCTGAACAATGCATTGAGATGCATCTAGCCTTGCTAAGTGCTAAAGGCTCACTCTACAGAAAACTCCAATGAGAAAATAGGTGCATTTAACTTCCAGGATAAGTAGCTTCTTCCTCCTCGTTGCTAAACTCATCATTGCACATTGCAGAGTCTCGTGGTGAGCCGCAGTTGCAGCGTGCCTCTTCCCACTTGATCCACCTTCCTCTTGTTCGTCTTCTTCGAGCAGATTTATCCATTTCATTCAGAATCAGTAAAACATTGTAGGAAAAAATATGAACCAAAGATCACAGAAGAAAGGCATCACCTTGCTACCTGTAAATAGGAACTCCTCACAGTGTTCTCAACTCCATCAGTACTATGATTGGGCGGAATATGCCAATGGGACAAGCCACCATCAAATTCTTTCATCACTGCATTGTCAATCTGATTTGAACTCAAGAGTGTTCTGCAGAAGCAGGTATGTCCCAAGGATTAGTTACGGTTGTTTTATGTACACGAGTGAGAGAAGGTTGCTCCCCATTGACCAGATGAATCACTTTTCCTCTGGTACTTGTGAAATCTGTTATATATAAGTAGTAGAGGGTGATATACTTTGCCGGTTTATTTACTGAAATAGAAACCAAAAGAAGTTAGGACATATGTAGACATATATTCATGGCAACCCCACATCTCGAACCTCTTGTTCCAATATGATTCTTAGATACTCCATTCTCGCCTTGGCCTCCTTTACGAAATCCAAAAGCAAACAAGCTAAAAGTCGGTATCAATGAGTTCCCAGAACTCAAATAATCCATATCATATTGAGACGTTTTGTCTACATTCACACTTTAGGTTCATGTGATATCGCAAGCCATTGAAATCCCAGATAGACTGGAGCACTCAATAATTACATCACCACCCTTCCTCCATTACCACCTGCATTTGTTTTTCAATCATTATCAAGATTAATCATTCCAAATGCGAATAATATAATCCCAAAGACTTTGCTTTGTTAAAAAGCTGAGTATCAGGAACTAACTTCGATCAATGAAAGCAGAGAAAGCAGGGAAACTTTCAGATATAATATAATTAGCGGAGGATTAATATATACTTTGCACATGATTTTTTAGACTTCCAAAAATCATCCTCGACCGTAGCATTGCATTTGGACGTCAAACTTAGTGTTTACAATAGCAATGCACCTCTAGTATCGGTGGTCAAGCATTAGCTCCCCATACAAATGTCATCTCTGAAAATACCATTTTAAAGGCTGCTACATATTATCTGTTGGTCAATTAAGCGGATCACATGCAACAGGGCAATTCAAATGAGGACAATAGGCGATTAATATCTCACAATTTATGTTGGCATTAGTAATTAACAAAAATAGCGGGGGCAGTTCAAATGAGGACAATAGGCGATTATATATCTCACAACTTATGTTGACATTAGTAATTGCTCGCCTACAATGTGTACCTTCATCGTGCGCTCAATAGCTTACTTTGCCAATGCGATTCTGGACCGAGTTTTCTTGATGCTTTCATAAACTAATCCATGAAACCCAAGAAACTTGGCGACACTGCAAAATTTACTAACGTTTTCATATTATCAATACGCCAAATAAGTTCAAAACTTAATTAGATATGACTAATAAACAATTAACACGCATACTTATTATTATTGTAATCTGGGCACTAAAATTCAGTTCTAACAAAAAATCATCGCATAGGCGGCAAGCGGGATAGATAATGCTAACGTTCAAGCGCCTATGGGAATCTACTTAAATGGGTCCTCATGCCAAAGGCAGCGACTCTTCCCTGCTGCTCTTTATCTATCCCATAGACACGATGTGGTATTACTCTGATCATTCCGCCTCATCATCGCTGCATGCAAGATCTCAGCTCGGCAGCAGAGATGCCGCCTCCCCAAAAATGATGCTCGTCTTTAAATTTCTGGTGTAATAATTTGCCCATTTAAATCTACCTCTCCCCCAATGTAACTCATAAACTTTGTACTTCGAGCCATGCGCCCCGCCTCCCCCATCCTTGCGTCGGCATCTGTGGCTGCAATATATCAGGTGGGGGTAACTCTAACCCCCAGTCATTGACCTAAAAAACAAGATTCCCTGAGACCACCACTTTAATTAGTGGATGATGAGTAGGCCACTAAAGACCGTGCCTATTTTTTCAGCTTCTCTATGATGCCTTTATAAATCAATTCAAAATTTGATATTTATTAGAAGTAGAAAAAACTTCATAGCCTATCAAGAGGCCAGGTGTACTTATAGTAATCTGAGCACTAAAATTCAGATCTTCCGCAAAAATCATCACATGGCAGTTACAGTTCCTCAACAACGGCTTTATCTTTAGTGAGAAAAGTCGATTGCCATCCACGGCTGATTGGCGAAGACAGGTCATCGCCCTCTCCTAGAACGCATGTATATATCAGTCCATCCTTGTCCGGTTTCTCTACCCTTGTAGACATAGTGGCTCAAGTACTATTGTTACCCCCGCCACTCTTTGGTTCCACTATAATTTTTCATTTAGTTTTCAGGTTGCCATAGCAATGTGTGTCTTTGAAATATACACAATTCAAAGCTGTATGTCTACAACATTCATTAAATAAATATGTAGCGAGTACAGTATTTCTCACGTCCGCTAATGACTACTCGTCTACTCCTATATAGTCTTGAAAATTTCTAAACCTAACCCAATTCAGATGCCCCAGGCCTTTGTGTTGTCTCCTAAATTTCGATTACTCATTTGCTTTTGCGGTGTAGACTACAAAGAAGGCTTAAGACTTAATTACGAGCCATTTCGTGGTGCGGGGGCATGTTACGATTGGCTGCGACTTGTTGGCGGTGAACACCCGAACCAACACTTGTTGGTCCATGGCATGTTGCGGCGCGACGCAGCTGGCGTCAAGGCGCGGTCGAAGTCCGTGGCCAGAGTCGCAAGGAACCTCACGCAGCAGCAGCGCGCCCCATCGCCTTTGACCGCGCGCAAGCGGCTCCAAAGATGGATGCCCGCTTTCGTAACGCACGGCCGGCGAGAACTTCGTCGACCCACGACGGCGGCGGCGCCATGGAGCGCTTCGTATCCGAAAGCGATCATCCGTTCGTTTCGCCATCGGGCGCGCGCCGATTCCTCACATCTGGGCCGCAAATCCCATAGACGCTGGTTCCTCACAACCCGCACCACCATCCTAAGCGTCGCTGCTCCACCCCCACCCGGTAGCTCGCCTGCCGCTCGCCTCTTGTCTCCCAATCCGACCCTCTGGCGCGCCGCCACGCCCGGGTAGTGCCACGATCTCGAGTCGCGATCGCGCGGAGAGGGAACCCTAGCCGTGGGGACGGGCGAAGTCGCAATCGCAAGTCGTGGGACTGGGAGGGGAGATGAGAAGGTGATGTTTAAATTTTTTTTCGGGGTAAAAAAAGACATCCCAGGGTTCGAAACCTGGCCGATCGGGCGCGAGGATGTGCGTTGAAGCCTTGATTCGCGGTCGGGCCGAGCAGCGTTGAAGCCTCGCAATGAAGCCTAGGATGGATCCAGGCCGCACGATTGAGTTGAAGCTTAGCAGGGATGTTTGTTAGCCCTTGATTTTAATGAAGATAAATTGCTGTGTGCATTTTTTCAGGGCATGAAGTTAGAGTCCTTCAGCGGGGACGTTTTTCTGGGTAAACCTAAATTTATTTAAGTTTTCAATTATAGTGGAGATTTGCACATTATACAAAATTGATGTTTTGATGACTTTAGTTTAGTAGTAACGAAGAAGTACCCATGGAGCCCGACCCTGAGGCCCGTTTGGATTGAGGAAAGTCACAGGAATTTAGGAATTTTGGAGGAAGCAATTCTGGAGGAAAAAGAAAAAGAGATGTTGTTTGAAACGAAGGAAGCTTTCCTACCGTCCCAGAGGAAAGGAAACTGCTTACACACGAAACGCAGGAACGAGAAAATCCACTCCGACCCAAGGGAACGGAGAGAACGCTGCTTCTGATGTTTCATTCCTATGATTTTTATTTCCTACAATCCAAACCGTCCAAATGTTTCGTTCCTATTATTTTTAATCTGTAGTTTTCCAGTTTTTATTTTTCTTTATTCATGTGTTTTCTACCGTTCGTCTGTTTTACTTCCTTGGTTCCAAGCGGGGCCTGAGCGTCTCAGCGACCGAGAGCCCATCCACGTCCACCCGCCGGCGTCCCCTCTGGCGCCGGCGGCCACCCCAAAAAAGCCAGAGCCCGCCCACAGAGAGCCTACCCCGCTGCCCACACCCTGTGGATCCCCAGTACCACCATCCGTGGATCTCGAGGAAGAGGGGCTCCTGGACTATGGAGAGGCAGAGGAGATTGACGCCATTGATGCTCTCTCCCCTGCTGCCTTTGAAGCCGAAGATGGGATGGCTTCACCGGATCTGCAGCCCAGGCAAGCGCGAGCACCCCCTGGCCTGAGATCTGACGCGCCCTCGGCATCCGCGACCTCACCACCGAGATCCGGCGGATCTGCTGACGGCGGCCGGCCTGCCGTCTCGGACAGCTCGCTGCCCCCTTCGGGTGCTGTCTCCACTGCGTCAATTGGAGCGCGGGTGCCGGCCAAGCTCAAATCCATCCTGGTCCGCCCAGATCGAGTGGCCACGCCGCCTGACGCGCCTGCTGACCGTCGCAAGTTGGTGTGGCACAAGCTGGCGCTGACGGCGACGGATGCTGCTGTTGCGGGTTCCAATACACAGCAGGATGCTCTGCTTTCACCAGATTGGCATAAAGGTAGAAGAAAGCACTGGTGGCGCAAGGATGCAGCTCTACAGAAGGTGGATCCTGGGAGCCGAAGGCGTGTGACGGGGGCGGAAGACGGAGCTCTGAGGGGCGCTTTGACGGGCCAGGATGCTTTTAAAAGGCGCCTCGCCGGCCGGTGTTTCAGGTGCCTCGGCGTCCACCATCAAGTTGCCCAGTGCCGGGACCCTGTGCGCTGCCTCAGGTGCAAGGGGCCCGGCCATATCTCACGCTACTGCCCCACCTGCCATCGCCAACCCATCTCTGCCAACCTCCGTGCAAGACTCACCTTCCCGGCCGGGAGCATCCACAGCCGCATCACATTTCCGCCATTTTGCTCCACCGCACCAGCCTCTTCTCCAGCCGCTCAGATCACTTCCAGCTACTCGCCCCGCAGCTTGGCTGAGATGGATCCGATGTTGGAGCACGATCCTGGACATGCCTTGCATCGCCCCAGGCTCATCAGCTCGCGCTCACCGGCTCCGCGCGCCTGGACCAGTGTGGCGACCACGTTTCAGCGCCTGTTCCAGTCGGCAGGCCTCGATCCCATGCTTGAGCTTGGCTGGGGGCCTGGGGATGAACGGGGATGTCAACCTGCTGCGTCCCTGGACGACGACCCGATGCTCCTTGAGTTCCAGCTCGCTCAGGCGTTCGCCGCCCCGCCTGGAGGCTCCACAGCCCATCCAGAGGGCAACTCCGGAGGTGAAGCGGAGATCACCTTCGGGCCCAGTGTGCAGCTTGTAGCCCCAGAGCAGGCCTCCGACGAAACCTAGCTGTCCGATGTTGTCAATAATACGGAGATTGATGCAGCTTCCCTAGGCTCCGCAGCGGGCCAGAGTGACAACCCGGTCTCGGCCGCCGTCGACCTGGCTGTGACGGCTAGTGCGACGGCTGCCGGTAACATCATCAATGAGTATGCTGATTTGCAAGGCGTTGAGGACACCGGTGGCTGCACAGATTTGCACGGGACAGAGGACATGGGCGCCTCCTTCTGCAGGCAGATGTTCAGAAAGGTCCCTGAGCCGGTATTACCGAGGCCAGCCTCACCTCCGGTGGCAGATGTTCAGAAGACTGTCGAGTAGCAGAGGACGCAGAAGGGCATTGGCTCCTACCCGCTCCAGCGTGCGTCTGGCCGCTCGTCGATCCCATGTGCCGGTGTCACAGCGCGCCCAGATCAAGCTTATGCGTGAGCTGGACTTCATCAATGGCCAGTCGCTGGTGCCGGATGCAGCGATCACAGAGTTCGTTGACATGTTTCGAGAGGACCTCCCGGAGCAGGCAATAAGGGCTGCCGCGAAGATGGGCAACAAGAAGCTCTCCAAGGCCCTAGCTGCAATGGCAGCGGATTTGGGGGCGGTCGAGATGGAGGTCCATGATGGTGCTCGTGCTTTGTATAATTATTCGAGCAGCGGTCGGTGTCACATCAGGCAAGTTAGGTCCCACCTCAATGAAGTGTTTTAGTAGTTCGTGCTGCACGTATCTGGCTTATAATTTATGATTTAAACAACGTTTTTCTCTTACACCTTAGCCGTATTTTCGGTCATGGCTTACTCCCTCCGTCCCATTGAGTTTGTCGCTCGGGAAGCGGGATTGTGAGGGGGGCACGGTTTTCAAACGACAAACTCAATGGGACGGAGGGAGTATAAGCCAATTCAGGCGAAACGAAGAGGCTAGGGCATGGTGTGTTTGGGATTGGGATCATGCTGCTGCTACAGTAGTCGGTTCGGTGAGTTAGAAGATACTGATAGGTTGCTTTTGGAGGCAAGTTGTTATGGCCTCTTGTACCCCGAGAATATGAGTAGTCCGCTCAGTTCTTTTCGTCGATAGTCTGTCGAGCCTGGGAAGCTGTTTACGCTGCTTGCGCCCGTAATTCTCTCCTCTTCTTATTAATATATACCGGCTATGTTCCGGATCTTTAAAAAAAAAGATGATTTTAGTTAGTTGTTTAGAAGGCAGTCTGTCTGCCCGTCTCTCTGCATGTTTATTTTGTGATTAGGTCTGTATTTTTGTTTTCAAGGTAACATTTCGGCCAAATCAATGAAGATTAGCGAGGTGCCACATTCCAGGAATTTATAGGAACTACTAGTACGATTTAGACTGTATTTTCTAACATCTCCCTCGTACTATGCCATATACAAACAAAATATAAGGCTATAAATTAAGGATCTGTTTGGCCAGCTCTCTCCGACTCCAGCTCCTACACTGTAGCACCCTGTAGCGGGGAGCCGGAGGAGGCCGGGAGAGGCTGCTCCGCTGGCTCCGCCGGTTTCACAGGCAAATAGAAAAAGAGCCGCAGCCTAGTTTTCATGTGCTACAGTAGCATACAATCCAAAAGGAAGCCAGAGTTGGCGGGCGAGCAGCGCCAAAGATAGCCTAAATATATAATGATACTATGATAGTACTATCTCCGTTCTAAATTATAAGTTATTTTGATTCTTTGAGTTACATAACTTTTGCTATATGTATAGATATATAACTATAATATGTATTTAGAAAAGTCAACAGATTTATATTTTAAAACGGAGCGAGTAAAAACAGGAGAAACCAAATATTATTGGGTCCCATGCCTTTATAGTGCATCATCATGGTGTGGAGGGCATCTAAGTAAACATTTACTTTTATTAATTTCCCAAAAAAACATAAACTGCTTAAGATTAGTTAAAACTTGAAGTTTGTTAGAAAACTGATGACAAGTTATTTGGGGAAATTGCCAATTTTGTATATTTGGATTCAATTGGTAATTCATGCGTTCTTATTCTCCAACGAGCTTCATTTTATCATTTATCTCTAGCGATGATGTTAGGGTTTCAGGTTGGAGGTGAGGTGGTGGGTCTTCACCAACGCTAGGATGTGCAAGACCATCAGTTGTGATGGCGATGATCGGAGTTATGGCCTAGAAGTTTACAATTCTAAACAATCGTATGAATTTGACTTTGACATATAACTAAAATTACTTTGCATTGAAACATGGGTTTTTACCTATTCATCACGTCTAGAATCTTAGAAATCTCCCTGAATTAGAGAAACCAACTTATGTACAATTTGACGCTCTCTTCTTTGACCTTTTTATTAATATTAGAAAGTCGAAACCTGTTTTTTCACTTTCGTATATGAATCAAAATCATTTGTTAGTTTTTCTTGTGGTGAAAACTGTTCGCCTAGGTTGGATTATCTAATTTAGCACGGGTGGTCAATCTTAGTTATTACTCCCTCCATCTCGGTATATAAGGCGTAACCACATTTGGTTCAAAGACCCACTCTCTCAACACGAATATTACTGCATCAATGTACGTGTATCTAGAGAGAGCACGTCTTATATTATAGGATATGAATAAAAAGTGGTTACACCTTATATATCAGGACAGAGTGAGTAAGTAGTTCAAAGTTGGAGGTTGAACTTAGAAAAGAAATACTAAAATTTCCTAAAGAAAAAGTTAGCTTGATATGCTTAACTAAATGATTTTTTAAATAGGATTATAGAATCTATTGAACTTTCTTTTTATTTCTCTAACCCGCAAATGGATTTTTAATAGAACCTATTCCCAATTATATATTGAATTTGATTTCAGATATCTTCAATTGAAGCATTCAGAGTTAGTAATTTTCTTCGTAAAAGACAATTTGTCTTATCAGGAGTCCAAAATATATGTGGTGGTGACTTCACTAGTAGTATCAAAAAGAGACTTTTATCTGTGTGTCATTATAAAAGTTGGTAATTATCCATAAGCCATTAAAAAGTTGAGTTCTCACAGGTGTCACTGTTCTGAACTCTTTTGTTCTCCACGCCACTTCCATCAGATTTGGCTTTAACGATGTTAAACTGCGGGCGTGAAAAGTCAAAAATATCCTCGGGTATGAATATGCAATTAATTTTTTAGCATCTTAATGACCTCAAATGAAAAAAAAACTCAAAACTAGAAAGTTGTAGATCTCGACAATATCTACAATTTTTGTATAAAAACTATCTTCATTTAATTCGGTATAAAAAGATATGATTTGATATGTTTAATATGTCTTAGAAAAATCATATTTTTTGTAGGGAATCAAATGAAGATAATTTTATATAAATATTGTAGATCTCGACAAGATCTGCAACTTTCTAGTTTTGAGTTTTTTCATTTGAGATCGTTAATATGTTCAAAAAAATTAATTGCATATTTAGATATGAGGGTATTTTTGACTTTTGATACCCGCAGTTTAACACCGTTAGAGTTAAATCTAACGGAAGTGGCGTGGAGGGAAAAAAAATTCAGAGCAATGGCGGCTATAAGAACTTAACTTTTTTGTAATGACGTATAAATAATTACCAACTTTTATAATGTTAAATCCGACGCCTAAGTCCCTAAGTCTGGATGCCATGTTTTGCAAAAAGGAAAATATTTGGGCGTGAAGAAAATTCAGCTAGCTTATTAAATACGTTCATCATAAAAATGCAATAAATGGTACATACATAAATAAATTATTAAATGAAAACTACATTGCGCAAAAAGCGGAAAAGAAAAGGACAAACGGAGGAAAGAAAGCAAGGACGGGATGGAAGAAAGAAGAAGCAATCAGCGCAGAAAATCCCCCGCGTATATAACCGCTCTCCACCGCTCAACTTCGCTGCGGACGCTTCCCCTCCCCTTTCGCCTCCGCTGGCCATCCCCAACCAGCCTACGGCGGTACGGCCGACTTCTAGCAGTTGCTTCCAATCCATTCATTCGTCCGCAGATTTCTCCAGTAGCCTAGCTTAGTTTTGTTGCCTTTGTGGCTTTGTTAGTTTATTAGGTCTATCAAAACCAATTCGCCGACATCACTTAGGAAGGGGGAAAGCAGGGGCAGGAAAAGAAGAAGAGACAGGTGAGAATCTGCTTGTTTTCTGGATTCTTGATGTGTTGCTGATCCAAATTCCTACCTTTTTTTGTTCCCCATCTAGGTTTCGATTTTATACCGGTCATTACAGCGATTTCTTACCGATTAGATTGCGTGATTCCTGCTTCTAGTGGATTGGGGAATTCTTGATTTTGTTCCTCCTCCATGTTCTACCCTTTTCTTCCCCATCTATTTTCGCTTTTGCGCTGGTCAGTTCGGTGCTTATCCATAGTTTACATTCCAGTATAGTTCTTTCCAGTACTATAATCACTGTGAAGTTGGGATCCTCAGCTCTCTCTGTCTGTGCTTGCTTTCAATGTTAGTTCAACTGAAGTAAGCAAGGAAAGTTCGGCTCTTCTCTGTTCGGTAGATGCATTGAAATTGTGAATAAAAGAATCTCGGCGATTTGATAAAAACACCAAAAACATGCTTAGAGCGCTGTGAAGTCTTGACACTTTTCTGCGGAATAATGTATTGGGGTTTGTATAATGGTGAGATTTGCTCTGCAGGAATGGCAGGACAAAGCTCCGACTCAAATCCCACCGATGCATTCGAGGAGTACATGCTGCTTGAGAAGGATCCTGATCTCTACCGGATGGTTTTCTCTGGCCCGAGCCAGATAAGCCCATGGATTGACCCGAGTGTGTTAAACCTGAAGCACCGGATAGGGAGAGGTCCATTTGGGGATGTCTGGATAGCAACTCATCATCAGAGGACGGAGGATTATGATCGGTACCATGAGGTCGCGGTGAAGATGCTGCATCCAATTAAAGAGGACCAGCTGCAGTTCTTCTCAGCGAGGTTTGATGAGATATTCAGCAAATGTCAAGGTCTTGGCAATGTTTGTTTCTTGCATGGCATATCGACACAGAATTGGAGGGTATGTTGGTCTTGGACTGTTGTGGCATGTTGGTCTCTATTGCCTCCCCATGCTAGGTCTCTCTGTCATATCATCTTGGTGATTAATGTTAATCCATAGCGTATTTGGCTTCATGAATTTTCAGATTTGTATAGCTATGAAGTTCTATGAAGGATCCATTGGAGACAAGATGGCTCGGCTTAAAAGTGGAAAGCTCCTTTTGTCAGAAGTTTTAAGGTATGGTGAAAATGCCTAAATTTTTTTATATATGCATCTGTAGCACCAAGGCAACCATTAAGATGAACATACAGGAAAAAAATTCTGAATTTGAGCAAGTAGTTTCTATGAGGCAATGAGTATCATATTCTAGAGTTTTTTTTCCTCCTTGAACAATGATACTCAGACTAGAAAATTGTTGTAAAAATTACCTTATGTAGTAATATGTTGATTTATTATGGCTAAAAAAAGGACTAGCAGGACATTTGTTCTCTAACTGTATAGTACAATAGTTTGAGAAAAAACTGTATAGTACAATGGTCTGGTATCCAAAACCCATGTGCTTTCTTAACTGTCACCTATCCTTATATCAATTTAGTATGACTTCAATTCATTGTTTCGATTTGGTACTGCTTATTATGGTATTATTCAGAGGTGTCTTGTATGCTTATTTTCTTGAATATTTTTTCATGACAAATTTGAATTTACAGATATGGGGCTGATTTGGCACGCGGTGTACTAGACCTACACACCAGGGAGATATTGGTCCTAAATCTGAAACCTTGCAATTTTCTCATAGACGAAAATGACCGTGCTGTGCTGGGGGATTTTGGGATTCCATCCCTGCTGTTTGGCCTTTCATTACCTAATCCGGACCTTATCCAGAGGCTTGGAACTCCAAATTACATGGCTCCAGAACAATGGCAACCAAACATCAGAGGTCCGATTAGTTATGAAACTGATTCATGGGGTTTTGCGTGCAGCATCCTTGAGATGCTGAGTGGCATTCAGCCATGGCGTGGAAAATCAGCAGATGAGATTTATCAGTTGGTTGTTTTGAAGAAAGAAAAGCCAATATTCCCATACATTCTGCCTCCAGACATTGAAAATGTGCTTTCTGGATGCTTTGAATATGACTTCAGAAAACGTCCCTTGATGAAAGATATTTTGCATGCATTTGAGAGGTGACATGATAAGTATCATGGTTTCTCATTATCTGCAGATTTTGTTTGAATTTCCACTAGATGAGTAATTTTACCATGGTTTATTAGAACATCTGCATTTATTACATCTAATACTGCTAAGTTCTACTGTAATATTGTCTTGTGTCCTATCAAAGCATAGAAATGTGTTGACATGCTTTGGTTGTTCTGCTGTAATATTTTTCCCAATATCATATCCCCCCCCCTCTATTTCTTTTGAGAAAAACGTTTGGGGCATCCATCGACCTAACTTGCTTTTCTATTTTTCATTTTTTAGTGCTAAAGATGCAGATCATGACAACATTGGTTGGGACAACTCTGAAAATGTAATGGTAGACAGGCCAGCCATGGCAAATCACATTAACTGGTTGCACTTTAAGGACAAGCTTCAAGTGGGTGACAAGGTCCGTTCAAGAAAGCTTAAAAACTCTTGCAGTCCTGAAACTATGGAAATCCCTGATGGAACCATAGTTGGCATTGAGGATGATGGAGAGCGCGATCCTTACATTCTTGTACGAATCCATGGGCTACACGACCCTTTAAAGGTTCGCTGTTCAACAGTGGAGAGGGTAACATATGGTTTTGCTGCTGGAGACTGGGTACGGCTGAGGGAGGAGGACAAGAAGCGCTCTCAGGTTGGCATTCTTCATAGCATTGACCGTGACGGTGCAGTGACGGTTGGTCTGATAGGAATGGATACCCTTTGGAAGGGTAATTATACAGATCTCCAAATGGCTCAAGCCTACTGTGTTGGACAGTTTGTGCGCCTAAAGGCCAACACTTCAAGCCCAAGGTTTGAATGGCAGCGAAAGAGGGGTGGAGGATTAGCCACAGGTCGAATTTCACAGATACATCCGAATGGGTGTCTTGCCGTGAAATTTCCTGGCAAATTTAATCTTGGTGAAGTATGCAGTTGCTTGGCAGATCCCTCTGAGGTGGAGGTGGTGAGCTTTGACAAGTGCGAGGGGATTGTTAAGAAGTATGAGCATCTCGAGGACTTCCATTGGGCAGTGAGGCCCCTGTTCATTGCTATTGGTTTCTTCACTGCTCTCAAGCTGGGTGTTTTTGTTGGGAAGAGCATTGCGAGGCCAAGGAGTCGGAAGGTTGCCAGCATCTCCGTTCAGAGCGGTGATTACGAGCAACAACAGGTGCAAAACAAGGCGTGGCTTCCTCCACCAGTTGCAAACATGCTTTTCGGAGATGTTGTTGGGACTTATGGATAAGAAATCAGAAAAGATCCATGTGAAGATGGAGGTTTGCTAAAAATAGCATCGGGAATTGTGGTTCCTAGTTGTGCATATTTAGGCCTGAAATGTTTTATCTAAGCATTTGTGAATATCTCTGTCTTCAGCAACTCTGCAGCACAAGTTGTGTACATAAACTCCAGAATTATCGTCTTAAACATACAACTATGCGTAGCTATTTCTTGCTTGGTGGACTGTTTATGCCATCCCAGTCTTATGTCCTGAGATTTCATGTTTTCTGTGCTTGTGTTTGTGTATGATGATTCCAGTCGTGTATTAGTTGAAATCCTAACACTGCTCTTTGCATTTTGTTTTTACTCGACTCTCAAAATAGTTGACTGTTGCAATTGCAACCCAAACAATAAATGCAGCTCGGCAATATCTGAGATCAAAACAACCAACGGGATCAGCGGCCCTAAATCGTTGGAATTATATTACTTGCAATGGTTGCCTCCTTTGTTTTTTTAGAAAGGACGGCAAAATCTCTTAAGGGGTCGTTTAGATCCTTCATTTGAAAGAATTAAAATATACTTAATAATTAAGATTATTTGGCTTAGACTTTATCATTCCACCGCTTTTCAAAGTTCATATATCCTATCTCAAATTCATAAAGTGGGAGATAGAAATTGATTCTATAGATCGTCGTGCTATGTTTCTAATTTGCAACTTATAACAAGTTCTTCAACTCGCTTCCCTACGGTAGAAATGCAATACATAAGTATTTCTCTCGTATAGCCAACAAAAATATACAAATATAATCCATACACAACCATAATAGTTTAATTAATAGGTGTCTAAATTATAATTCTTAAAATGAATTCAATTCCAAGGATTCAAACGGGGATCTACAACCATTATAGGGATTGAGAAAACTGAATTCCAGTTTTAGGGTAGGCATCTACAACAGGTTGAGAAAATCTACCCACCTTACAACTTCCTTTTGCATTTGACATAGTACATAACAAACTTGCTGCAGTGTCTGTCACAGCTCCATCTTCGTGAAGACCAATAATTCTTCAGATCAGCTGCATCAGCACCACAAACATTCCCACTGTACGCAAAAATGTGGTCATTTCGAACAGACAAAATGAGAAAATCCACAGTTTTGTAATATGTTCAAGGCAATTCGACAAACTTGGACAATTACCTGCCGTTGGCAGATTGTAATATAGAGGTTTAGCCAGTTCAAATACTATTCAAAGTGGTGTACAACAAGCTGATAGATACATGAGGATGGTTAACGGTGAACCATCAAACTGCCTCCCTATCTAAAACCTAAACCTCCAAAAGCTGCATTCTGCTGCCAGAAGTAACTAGTACACAACACTGCCAGGCTCCTCTCAAGGAAAACTAGCCACAGCACCTGAATATGAATTAGAAATCAAGCTGTGAACCTTGTGACGAGCAACTACTTGATGCAGCAGATGAAGGCCCGCTTGACCCATCAACTGGAGCCTGGTTCAACCGTTCCAGCACCAGCGACCTCCTCTTTCGTAGCTTCAGAGAAAGTGTGGATGCCTCTAAGATCACAGGGACCTGATTGTCAACATAAAAGGCATCAAAACAAATGAAGACTTAAAGGCTTTGTTGTTGTTGTTGTTGTTGTTGTTGTTGTTGTAAGTTGTGATTGTGAATATTTCGGTACCTGACTATTAGTTTGAGCCACCTTGTGGACACGCAAAAAACCAACCATATCTTGATATCCTGTGAGCAGTTTTGCCAAGTCTTTGTCCTCATCTGTAACCAAGTAAACAGGCAATTAAAAGACAGAGTAATGTAGGTGATCGAAATGGTTACTGAAAATAAATTTCAAAAGTCCAAGCTTGCCTGGAATTGCTTTGATGGACAGAAGTGTATCTGCCAGGTGCTGCCATCTCTTACAGAACGAATTTGACAGAACTGTACTCGGAAATGTTATAACAGCAACAGAGTTAGATGAGCGCACCATGGCCTTCAGTGATCTGATAAATGAGACCATGTCCCAGTCCTGTAATGCGTAAATTAAGTGATTTTTCAGTTGCAACTACATCCAAACTTGATAGAAAATAAGAAACGTAATTTGGTTTCAAATTTTCAGCACACTACAGTCACCAGCCAATGAATATTGTAGAATTAAATGCTAACCTTCTCAAAGTATCTACACTGCGGTGCACAGAGTGATTGTATAGCAATTCTCCCAGCAGTTAAACTCCCACCATCTTTTCTGAATGTGGAATACAAAAGAGGTGTTCAGAATTAATACTAGGCACAGTGCGCATAACCAATTTTATCATTATTGGACAATAGATGCATTACTCGGTGATGAAAGGGTTCTGCAACTATGCTGTGATATTCCTCAGCAAAAGCAATTTTTGAACATTGGATCAAGACCTGACCTCACCTTGGAAGCTTGGATAAGAAAGAAGTACAACAATCCTGGAGGCCGCTGAGAGTGTCAGCATCTTGAATGCTTACACATTCAATATTCTGCCCATTAAGTAAATGCCTTTCCAAGGGCTTCCTCAAATCAAAGTCATTGCTAAATTCCTGCTTATTGTCTGCAATGATGCTAAATGAGTCATTGAGTCAAGACTTGTCAGGGACATCATGTGGCAGTAGAAGCAAGCTTAACTTAAATAATATAGTACTAGAAATCATGCTTATACAAGCAAAACTAATATGTATTGCAAAGATAGCTGTTTGTCTTGTCAACATCAGGTTGCAACGAATGATTCTTTGGAATGAGTTGATAACAAAGTCAAAGAGCAAGAAATGATCAGCTTGCTAATGATTAATACATCTCTTCTTTTTAGATAATATTCCATATCATATCGTAATCAAGAAAACTGGCACGAAAAGCTGGTTCCACAAAAAATCACCAACAACAGAACAGACAAGATTAAGAGATGGAGTGAAGGACCCACCTTTATGTTCAGCACGAGAGTCATCCCCAAAGTATTTCTTGTACTGCCAAGCTATCCTCAAACCTTCATCCTGTATAATGAAAATTTCAGGGCAATATGAAAAGAAGATCGCTTCTTGGCGACTATAAGTACAGTAATAAAATTATTCTGGGACCTACATTTGCTTGTCCATCACTACTTGCTGCAGCCCCCATTGCTCTGTATCGTCCATCCTCCTTTGAAGATGAAACTGGAGCAGGTAGTGTACCAAGGAACAACCGTGGCTCCTTCATAGCTCCTGAAAAGAGCAGGGGCTGTTTGTGCACAACACCCTGAGACATGAAGCACCGAAGAAGCAGGAGGTGGTGTGGCACATCAGCATCCTCCATGATCATTACAACTGAGCCAAGAAGGAATCCACCACCCAAAATCCCTGCCAGAGAGCGCCAAATAATGGTGATCCAGTAACTGCCATGCACATCGTATTTTTTTTAAAAAAAAGCATGCTTTCCATTTTTTCAATTTACAAAGTTTGGTTCTTATGTGCTCTTTATCACATGAACTAATTTCCACGCATATCTAATTTCTAAGCAGACTCCAACCAGGCTAATTACTTCATGCCTGTGCACCACTTCCACACATCCCAGATCTTTTAGATAATGGAATATAATTATCTCAGCATCTGTATCACAAGATGCACATAGCTGAACCTATAGGCAAGGCAAATGATAACACATAGTAGATGTAAGTAAATAAAATCTTCTTCAAATACAGGTCACTGAAACGCTCCAATTTCCAATTCTATCGTTTCTGTCAAAAAGGGCAGATCAAACATACATGTCCAAACATCGCCGATACCGAAATACTGACAGTCTCCTCACTTAACATCATTCGAGATAAGCAAACGGAAATACGGTAATATCATCAACGTAAACATGGGATTTTTTTTTATTTTTAGTTAAAAAAGAGAGTTTGAGCAAGGAACCGCTTACTGTCGAGGTCGGGGATGCCCGAGGAGACGAAAGCGGCACCGTTCGGGCCAATCTTGACGCCAGAGGCGCCGGATGAGGAGGCCACTGGGTTGGATGTGGCGCGGGAGAAGCTGCTCCGGCCAAGGGTTCGGCCACCGGCGGCGGCCATGGTGGCGGCGGCGATGGATTGTAGGAGAGGTTTCGGTTTCGTTTCTTCTTTGTCGTCCCTGGACCTATTTGCGGTAGACGCGTAGGGCCGAAAATAATACGGCAGTTTTGCAAGTTAGTTTTGGGCCAAGCCCATTTATCTAAAAAGCATACGGGCCTGCGGGTGGACACGACGCGGAGCGGAGGCAGCGGGGCTGACGCGCGCCGTCGTGGTCCATCGGCGCAGGCTGGGGCGCGGCTCGTGGCGTGTGCGGGGGGAGGAGAGGGAGGGCGGGAAGGAGGCGGCGCCCGAGGAAGGGGCGGCTTTGGGCCTGAGGCGGATCGCTCGAGGCTGCGGAAGGGGAAGCTTCGGAAGCGAGGACCGGTGAGTTTTTTTATAGGAATTTTTTATTCCGTTGTCGGCTAAATCGACTGACACCAAAATCATGATACAATTTGCCACCGGCCAACATGAGGGCGCTAAATCATGGCTCCTACCTCCTAGAAGCAAGCTCATGTGCTACCGTTACAATCACTTGGAGCATATTTGACAAGAAAAGATGCAAAATTTTCTACCACCAATTCTTTGAGCTCATGGACTAAGCCACCCACCACTGCAAGTCTGAAATCATCACCCTGCATCGCCCACACCACCTGCTGTGCATCGGTCTCCAGGATGATATTATTGACGCCGAGGGATATCGCTGCCTTCACTCTTTCAATGCTTGCAATAAGCTCCATTTGTATCGGATTGATTGCAAACGACACTCTTCCAGACCCCGATTGAATCACTTCGCCACATTCATCGCGGATGACATAGCCCCATTCACCATTCTAATCAAAGTCCCTGAACGCTCCGTCCACATTCAGTTTCAGCATGCCGTGTGGGGGTGTCTCCCATCTCCTTCTTCTACTCCGTGCTCATGTATCTTCAGCAGTAATCCGCTGCAAGTTGTTGATTTCTGCTGCTTGCCTCCCACAGAAGCCTGCAATTTCATCAGCCAATCTTCTCTTTTCTCCTTCTCTGACTTGGTTTAGAAGAGCTGTTTTCAACTGTAGCTCGTCATCTATTGTCAACATCTTCTCTACCACCTCCATCGTAGTACAACACTCAGCCATCAGCTTGCGTACAAACTCCAGTCCTGCACTTCTCCACAGCGCTTTGACACACTTACACTTCAGAAAAAGATGACCACCATCCTCGCCCGCTCTATTACACATAATGCAGCGATCATCATCAACCTTGACGCCTCTGCGTTTCAGGTTTGAGCGCAAAGCCAAAGAATTATGAGCTAAGCGCCATAAGAAGTGTTCCAGTCTACTCGATGCTTGCATAGTCAAGATCATGCTCCACACCTTTTTAGTTTCGCCCCCACATCTTGAACTAGACGCTGCTGAGTCATGTTTGCTGTTGCGATTGTCATCGTCACAGAAAACTCTGAAAGCTGTTTTCACCGAGAAAATTCCTTTGGAGTCATAATGCCATGCTAAAGTATCCTCCATCTCCCCTTGCACAGGGATAGCTAAGATTTTTGGCACATCTTCCGGCCAGAAGGTGGATTGAATCAGCTCTGCATCCCAACCTTCAGTCAAGGGGTCAATAAGATCAGAAGCCCTGGATTGAATATTACCCCTCCTTGGCGTGATTGGCCTTCTAGTAAGTCCATAAGGTAATTTACACCAAAATTTGGCCGGCCAGAAAATATTATATTTTAGGAGAAGCATGATGTCCAAAGCCTCCTCACGTGAAGATAAGGAAGACACAAGGAAGCTTTATTAGCGGATTCTATAAAAGGGGAAACTGGAGTGCATGTATCTTAAAAAATTCTTTTCTTTTAGATTTATCTTGTTAGGCAAGTTTTGTACTAGATCACCACGTGACCAACTAGGATTGTTTCAAGCCTCAGGGTATAAGTATAAACCCCGGCTATTGTAATCAGACATCATCTCAATCAATCAAAACAGTCTTTACCTTTTCGGCTTCACGCCAACCCTTAGGAGTAGGAGTAATGTAGATCTTGGCGAGTTCTTCAACAAGTAGAGCTGCCATCTGTTAAGTTCGATCTCCAGCTTGTCTGTAAGTACCGTCACGACTTATATTGTTGCTTGTAAGGCTGCATCAGCTGATTGACCTCTTGTAAGTCATAGTATAAGTTAGTTATCGATCCTTATCTAGTTCAAGAACGGCTGCCATCGGATAAGCTCTACCTCTCGAATTAGATTAAGGTCAAGTTACCGGCTTTACCTAAGGGTGGCATCCTTCGGGTAGATTCATTAAGTTACCGATCTTACTGATATTCTTATTGTCATTAGTTTCAGCAATATCAACCTGCCCGATCGAGATCGATCTAGATCGGTCTCACATCCTTTTAGTCCATCGTTTATTTTGCTATATTGTGATAATTTTACTTTAAACGATGGATTATGTTTTATCGGTCATTCTACTTCGATCTTGATCGTGCATAGTACGCGGCCAAGGCATGTTTGATGTTGAGTAGATTTACTAGCTATTCGAATCTGGTCTATAGCTCGTTGTTATGGCTGTAACGATCCGTTAGATCCCCACTGCTAGCACTTTAAATCAGAGTATGTGTAACACCTCGGGTGTTTTAAATACTAAAACAGGACATGTCATCATATGCATTGCAAGACATTTGGTCATATTGCAAACTTTGATATGCATTCACTAAAACAAGTTTACAATTATGTTATGAGTGTGACTTTGTATGGTTTGAATTGAGTTCAAAGTTTGATTTGGATTTGAAGTTTCGAAAACCCTGATTTTCAGCGATTTGTTTTACCCCGAAAAACCTAATTCAAAATTGAAGCACATTTTAGGGTTGAGCCTTAAAGCAAAAATGTAGAGCTTGTTGAGTTGTACAAAGTTTGTTTTTGGAGTTTTCAAAGTTGTTTAGAAAAATTTGAAGTAATTTAAAAAGGCGAAATGTACTTAAAGTGTTCCCTTTTTAATTCAAATTTGCATTTCAAAATGTAGACCGAATTTGGGTATGGTTATAAAAAGAAAAGTTGTAGAACTTTGAATTTTGAACAACTTTTATTTTTGGAGATTTTTGAGTTGTTACATAAATTTGGGAGTAATTTGAGTTTCAAATCGGATGGCAATTCTGTAAATTCTGTGAACAGTGCTCGTCGCTTAAGCTACATCGCCGGTGATCTTCGAATGCGTTCTGGTCGTCACCGTGGCCGTCCTTGGCTTCGCGCTGGCACGGAAAAGACTCCTGCGTGGCTTCCTTGCGCTTCTGAGCCGCGCTATAAGGCCTTTGCCGTCATCGTTCCTCGCCGTTTTCCTTCCTTTGTTTTCCCGCCGCCGCCGCCACTGCTCTGTCGTGCGTTTGCCCGTCGCCGTAGTGCCTCCACCGTCGCAACAAGGCGCTCAATAGTTTCGCCTACTCCTTGCGAAACTAGCCAACCGGTCGTGGTCGTCTGTCTTCGCCAAATTTCGCCGTGCGACGTCTTTCTTCCTCGCGGCCGGCAGCATCTCCGTCGAGCGCGCTTCGCCGTGGCCAGAGCTCCACGGTCTGTCTCTGCTCGTGCTTGGCATGCCGTCAGCTTCACCTTGTTCCCGTGATGCTCTATGACCGGTTGATTGCCCCTTTTATCCACCGCAGCCACCGGAACGCCGTCACCGACGTGGTTCGCGCTGCCGTGCTCGCTGTGACTGTCGACCCACCTCTCCATCGTTACTCCGGCTCGTCCATCGCCTTCAACGTGTTTGGGGTGAGCTGCTGAACCTTCCCGTGCCTTTTGTTTAAGCTCTACCGGCCTTGTTTCGCCGGCGTAGCGCCGCTGAGCTGCCGTGTCCACCATGGCCGGTGTCAAGCTCGAACCTCGCCATAATTAGTCCAGCTTGTGCCCCCAAATCGATGCGCATTGTCTTTGTGATCATGTTGGTACTCTCGTCGTCGCCGTTGGTCTCACCGTCGGCAAGTTTTCGTCGGTCAGCGTCGTCGTCGTCATGGTCAAGGCGGGAGGTTGAAGATGACAGGTGGGACCCGAGTGTCAGTGACTCAGCGGTTTGAAAATGAATTTTTCCTTTTTCAGAATTGAATGAATAGTGTCTATTTTTGTTATTTTTGTGTAGATTTAGTTAGAGCTCCAAAAATTATGAAATTTTTTGTGTGACTTCTCTGCGATGTATATTATTTAGGAAAAATATGAAATATTGATTTACAGTACTTTTTGAATGTAATAAAAATTGCTCAATTAATTAATAAATGAGTTTTCATGATTTTTCTAGGCTTAATTATTTATCCAAAAATTATGAAAATTGTTTTGCCACTTAGTTATCATGAGATGAACATGTACAAAAATTTTGGGCTCAATTGGAACAAGTTGATTTATTTCATAATTCTTAATTAATTAATTAATTCGTAAAAGCAAATAGTAACCTTTAATGATTTAGGTTTTGTTTGAATTTTTAATTGAGTGATGTCCTTGGGTCATTAGTTGGTAATGATCCTTGGCAATTGAATTAGGTGTTATGAAAATGTTTAGTTAGTTTGACTTGTAACTGTACCGCGAAGAAAAGTTGTATTCAAGTTGTTAATTTTTGTATCCATCATCGAGCATCATGTTTTATATCTCGCATCATGTTAAACATGGCCATGTTACTACGTGTAGTGAACGAAGGTGAGCATGTGGTAGTTAATCAAGTTGTGGAAGAAGTTATTCCGCCTGTTGAGGTCGGATTTGATAATTGTGAAACGACTCCGGAACCGAACATGGCCCCGGATGCATACAACCCTACCTTGTGTTTTACAAATTGATTTCGCTTTTGCTTTTTTGTACTGCATTAAGTGATTAGGAGTTAAGTAAAAACCTAATTGGTGCATTACCAACATTGTTTTTCCGTATCTACCTTGTTACCAGTTTTACTTTGTAAATGTGTAGTTATGCTTAGCCATGCTTAGACAGATCAAAGTCGGGTGATTACCTGTCACCTGCAAGTTTTAAATGGATCTTTGATTACGTTTGGTTACTTATGTGATAATGAAATATAAGCATGTGGAGTAATAAATCTAGACCGTGCGGACTCGGTGTGTGTGAGCCACAAGACATGGAGGTCTTGTGAGCGGGTTCTTTCCGCCTGTGTCGATTAAGGTCCGTCCATTGTTGAACTGTGTGCGGTGAGACTTTGTAGTACTAACCACATACTCCGGTAAGCCTTAACTTGGCTATTCTATTACGAGAATGGCTACTCGCGCACTGGGAGTGGAGAGATGGTGGGAATAGCGTGTACCCACGTGGCAATGGGCTGGATGGGTGGGGTACTGTATTCTCGGGTGGCGCGGACCCGTTCTTGTTTTAGAGGATTCGAGGGTTGGTTGATATATGTAAGTCAGAGACCTGCATATGTCGTGTGGTCTAGAATTCCCAGTTGGGTTTTAATCGGTTCGAATCGTCGTTGCTCCTCGGTTATGGAGACTCACTTCTCTGTTCATCATCGTAGTATTAATAACTGAAACTTGAGGATGGTTGAGAAAGTGTTGGATACGAAGTTTCATGATCTAAATGCGGATCGTGTCAGCTTTGTATATGATCTTATAAAGTTTTAAATGTTGATATAAAGAATTTTGTTAAAAAGCTTTTACGCAAAAGAACTTTGATTATTGCTAAAGCCATACCTTGAATCCTCTGAGCCTGCATTCCTGTGTTCTATTAATTCTTATTTTGGTTTAGTCTTGTTGAGTACTTTTGTACTTAGGGTTCGTTGACCCTTGTTGCAGGTGAGGCTCATGAGCACATCTGTTTTGGATCGTGCTGCATGACTGTTGTTCAGTGCGATGACGATAAGTAAATATGTGGCCCTTGGGCAGGGCAACTTATTTGTGTGTTTTGTAATATGTTATAATGCCACTCTACTACTACGTTTTGTAATATTAACCGAACTTAGTTGTATGGTTTGTAAACTATGTTATTGTAAGTCTTCCGCTAATTTTTACTCTGGTGTATCTATTTGAATAAACTGTTGTAATACTGCAATGACTCTGTAATGTGATCCTGCTCGGAAATCGTGGATGATTCAGGGTTCCCCGAGGACACCCGACAGTCTTCTTAAGTTACCAGGAACATGTGCATGGATGTCAAAGGTCGTTGGACAGTGACAGGTGCATGTGGGCCCTATAATTTAGGATGTTCTACCATAGTATGCTAGTTGGTAGATTTGCTTTCGGCCAGGCATGACCTTGTCTGTTTGCTATGCCACTTTAACGCTTATAGTATGTTTTCATGATTATGTTAAATGTGAATAGATCTGTTTACTTTAAAGATTTAATCTGTTATCTTTATTATAGCTGCCATCGATCCGGTCGAACCCCACTGTTAAAGATAATAGGCTAGATTTGATGAGTTTATAAATATGTTCATATTAAATAGTTGATTGTTCACATGTTATGCCTCTACCTTCTCTGCATTGGCTATTTTAGCCGATTCACCTGTGCTTTCACACATATAGCATGTCTTCTATGAACCTGTCAATATAT